ATTACAACATAAAACTTCGTACATGACTACATAAGTTCAGGTTGCCATACCTTAAGCACGGAGACGCATATGTCAGTTCAAATCCCATAGTGGTAGAGATAGTAGAAGTATTAGCATTAATGGAGTAGATTAGGGTTCGAAGACATGACATGCCCAACCGTAGCTGCTACCTTGACGTGGTGGTCGGGCTTGCCTATCGTGATGACTCAACCGAGCTATATTGGCCGGAACATACGTTCCTGAAGGTTCTGCCATGCCAGGTAGGTCGATTTGAGAACGATGATACAAAAGCAGCTACTCAAGGTATGAGGGCGAAGTCGTACTACTGACTTCAGAGGGATGTGAGAGCAGTAAGGTGTTTCCCTCGGACAACCAGCATCTGCAGTGATGCTGCCTCCTCACAAGGAAGAAAGGGTTAGAAAAGGTCGACCCTACAAATGTCACACCTCACCCTACTTCACGGATTTCCGTCTCCGGCGGTAAGGGTGCCCACTAAGAGCTTTTAGGAGCGGAGCTAGCACTCAAAGAAACCTTTAACAAAAAGGCCGTGCGTGACCGACCTCAGGCAGTTGTCCCTTGAACTCTGTGGTCACGCTTCCAGGTCTCTAAGACCGACAATAAGCTACCTTCCTTTTCAGGTTCCTCAAGAAACACTCTTCAACGGTGTGTGCAGCCGGGAAGTGACATCCGCCCTCATACCCGTAACAGCACACGAGACCGAATTGGTCACAATCAGAAAACTGTAGCTCATTCTAAGGCACATTTTTAGATTCATATCGTACTCTAGTGCGAGCGCCTATTTATTTGAGGCTTGCTGGGCTTGTGAAAGACGGTTATCTGAGCATCACTTATAGTCAAAAACATTTTTTTTCTAACCTTAACAGCTCCCCTGTATCTTACTTAACTCTTTGGAATAGTTGATGATTCGCCGTATGCAGCATACTCTAGTTATAGCAGTAAAATGTCCACAATTTCGCTAACGAATTTACTAGAATTTAATTGGTAATCTGTGCTTAATGTTGTTGTTTTACAACCCGTGTTTCTAATACATATGGCTTCGAGATGGTAGCGAAAATTTGTAGCTCAGGTGGATGATTGTGGTGGTGTTTCATCCTAGCTCAAAGGACGAAACACCACCACAATGACTTCAAATTAACGACCTAATATTACCTACGTTCAATAATGATATTTCGCATCCATTTAGTCGAAAAGGAACTCTAAGTTCTAGTCATTAGTATCATGAAACGTAAGTATATCCGAAATGGATCAAGCTTGCACCTACTGTAATTCCATTAGTTCTCTCTTATAACACGACAAGCAAAGCATTGAGTTACAGGTAGGAAAGCATCTTCAAAAATTGTTCATTGTGTGATAGTTTCAACGAGACATCTGTCTACCCAATTTGTACATTCAGCTCAGGACGGCTGTAAAAATATATTTATAAGTCCTAATATGTCATATAACACTTCAAAACCTATAAATAAAAATAACAACCTTTTGCAGTCGTAGATGTAGTTTTTGTTTGAGGTGGTTCCTCCTCATATTATTCATGAGCAGGAGAATATTCTGTGTTACTAAGGCATTTTACACTTTTTATGACTCTTCCACGGACAAACAAAGCATTTACAGTAAAAAGATTATGAGAATCCCTTAAGACTGTGAATATGAAATATGTTTGTCAAGCTCTTAAAATATACTTACGAAGAATTCTAAGTGGTCTTTACTTCTCAAAATCAGCTCCCTATAACATCTCTCGCAAAACCCAAGTATACTACATATTTTAATATATTCTATTGCTCCTGGTTTTTTCATATGTTTCTAAGTCAACTTGTTAATGTTATCAAACTCTGTTATAATTCCCTCTTAGTAAACCTAGCCATTCCAATCGCTTGGTATTCTCTGACAACAATACACTCGACAAGTCCCCGAATCAGAACATCGTGGAACAGGAAAAATATTTTATTCCAAATAACAAGGTTAAATGGAAGTAAGAAGCCAAAGCGGAGACGAAGGCGAAATAGGAACAACGTTAGCATCTTTATAGTTTTTACATGAGAAGTTCCATAATGTATCCCAAGTACCGACTATCGCTGATTGGCTAAATCTTATCCAATCAGCGTGCAGCTAACTCAGTCATGCTTTAATCCATCTGTCCTGCTAAAAAACTAGCAGATCTCTTCATCCTCTAAAAAGTTCTGGGTTGATTTGTGTACTTCATTTAATATTATCCATTACAATTTTACATATTCGCCAGTACCATAGAATTTCTTTTTCGTAGAGTTCGTGCAACTTACTGGGCTCATATTTAACCAGTTCATTGTTGCTTCATATTATTTGGTTTTTTATAATTATTTCAGCTATGGGTTGATAGCACATTCTTTCTACGCCTGTCCAAAAATCGTTTGTCTTCATCCAATGTGCGAAGGACGTTCATTTTGTTTTAAATGTCGAAGACCTTGGTCCACTGATACAACAAATGAAAGTTCTTCAGATCAAAATAATGTTATACATATTTGTCCGGCTGAACAAGATATGCGCAGTAATGCATTAGATGGACTGCGCTCTTTCTTTGGTATTCGGCGTTTTAGCAGACAAATATCTGGTCAAAATACCATAACAAATGGACCTCAACAAAAAGTTTCTGATAATATTTTACCAATACACTCACACACTTCAACTTCTACAAAAGAAAAACGTTCCCGTACTCCCAAATCTTATCCTACTTCTACTGACCACTCCAATGATATTCGGTTGTCTCTGGAAGAACTATTTACAAACGTAGATCTTGAAGGTGCTAATACTACTACTCCTGTTTCGAAGAAAAAGTAACTACCGTTTTAATCATAAATATGCACTATAAAACTTATCTCTTCTATTTTCTATATCTATCTGCCTTTGTTCTAATTTATGAATCCATATATAGTAGCCAAAATATTTATTTTGGTAAATTGTACATTATTATATATTCTATGTTCACTCTCGGTTTTCTAATTTCTTCTATAGATATCCAATCTCTAACTCCGATGCGGCTAACTCTTCTGAATCCACTCCCAAGATGAATAGACGCCCTTCAGTAGATTCTAATGGTCAAAGTAAGTGTTTTGAAATGATAATAGCGTTATTCAATTTTTTATGTTTAATAAAACCTAGGATTCTCAGCATACAATTTTTTGGCATGTTTCTTTCAACCTTTATAGACTTTACTATATATATAGGATGTCCACATGCCAACCAAGACTGATCCTATTTCAGTCAAAATGTCAACAAAAAGATAATCCCAACCATTTCAAGTTGAAATAAATCTCTTACCCGTTGCACGAATGAGTGGCTAACCGGATTCGGTAGCTAAATGGATAACACAATGGCATTTGGAGAAAAAAGATATCTGGTTCGAGTCCCGGAGTAAACATCAACTCTTAGTTACGAGTAGGTTCAGCTGATGCGTCCCAAATAAGACGAAACCAGCGTCCTGGATTCCACTGTTAGCCAATTTGTATCTATTCAATGTAAATTTAGTCATGTATTTGTAGCTTACGAATATCTTTCAAATTAAACTATTGTAGGGTCGCGATGGGTTATTGTGAGTGAGAGAATAGAATTCGCTCAAAGACTATGAAGATCTGAATAAAATTGGTGAAATTTGTAATTACTTAGGTGAGTATGTCACGGGCGTAATAAATTAAAGAGACCATAAATGAGAAAATCACACACAAAGGCCAACGGAATCTATGTTTATAAACCATGAGAAAACAAATGATTTCACTGAATCCGTAACTAAACAATTGATTCATCATCTTATCATTGAAGGCGATTGATTGTATCAAATATGATTTGGGTTTTTATCAAACAGTGCTTTGATTGTGTATTTTTTTCTAATCAAATTTTATCATCTCCTAACTAATTACAACATTGCAACATACTAAACTTCATAAACATTTTACAAAATATTACATCATTTTTAAAATACTAATGTTGTAAAGCTCTATTATCCTTTATTATTTTGATCAATACAGCTTAGCTGATCAGTGTGTCGATTATATACTTGACGTGAACAACGCATATTTCATTTAAAGTGGGCGTTGATTTCATATATGATTTTAAAAACTATAGCATAGTATATGTATGTTTGTATACGCGCATTTACTACTAATCAATTGGAAAGTAAAGTAACACCTAGGTCAATAAATAGTATGATAGTTCCTGTTACTTCTCTTCGTAAAATGTTTACTCATTTGCACCATCATTTCACTTGAATTCGACTATATATATATATATATATATATATATATAATATATATATATAATATATAATATAATATAATATAATATATAATATATATAATATAATATAAAATAGACAATGCTCGGTTTTTGTCAGCTTAATAATAAGACTTGTTTGATACAGTTTTGATGTCATGCATTCCCTAGTTTTGCAACCTTTTGTACACCCATTATATTTGTAAACGTTAACTGGGCATCTTAAACTATTTCATCTGTTGATCAGTGACTCAAAGTTAATTAAATTTTAGAAAAAACCAATGGGACAATAAATTTTATCATACTCTGATAATCCTGTTTTAATATTATTATTGAGATTACAATATCATGTAATGGGTTACCACTGAAGTAATTTCAACCATAATAAGTAGTGTACATAACGTATGGAGAACAGTTTTTTTTACATCTCGATCTTTTTCTCCAGATTAGTTTAGAATGTCTTGATCATAATTAAACATTAGAAAAGAGTTATGGGAGAAGAGATTATTTTAGAGATAACCTAAAGTAACATAGGTGGTTTTATGTATGGAAACTGTTATAAAGGGCTTTTTGATATTTTATTTATCTTCAGTCAGATAGCGAATAAATAAATGACCAAGTTTATACTGTAACTGAATTGGATAGTGAGGTTCTATGATAGCGTATGTCATTGAAAGGAGAACCAAAGAAGTACATTGATCTTGTACAAGCTCTCTACTCGAACACTACTGTCCGAGTCAGAGCTTATGGCGAACTGTCATCGGAACTAATTACTTTAAGTGGCGTTCGTCAGGGCTGTCCACTTTCTCCATTTTTGTTTAATTTTATCATAGACATGCTGCTAGATATAACCTTATCCTCGCCTGACTTCAGAAGTGGACCTTATACCAGGAGACGCGCTTGCTGATGATGACGTAGTCTTATTCGGTGAAGACGCTGACAAAATGCAGAGTCTTCTGACCGCCCTAAGCAACAATGCAAGCATGTTCGGGATGCGGTACTCACCCTCAAAATGCAAAATGTTGCTTCAAGGCTGGGTTGCATCGACACATGAACTAGTGATGGGGAGTAAAGTAGTAGAACGTGTTGACCACTTCACTTATCTGGGGAATCTCATCAGTAGTGATGGCCTGATGACTGAGGAAACCTCAGCACGGATACAGAAGGCTCGATTGGCTTTTGTCAATTTGCGTCACCTATGGCGCAGGCGAGATATCTGTCTGCTAACCAAAGGACGAGTGTACTTCAACTTCATCAGTTGAGGTGGTTGGGACTAATGCCTGAACGAGCCATGTTTTGTGGTGTAGGAATAAGTTGAAAGAAAGGTAGAGGCGGCTAGATCAAAACATGAAAGAAATCCATGAAGTCACTGACAAGTGGACTGAGTCATGTTGGTAGATGTAGGCTACCTGACTGTGGCCCACGAGATAACAGTAAATGATGGTTAGAGACTTTCAATGACATGGCTCAGAATCGTTTGCGATGGCGCAGATGCATCCATTCTCTGTGTTCTCTCAAATTCCATCGTCCTGGCTCCCTCATTACCTTCTCTTCCTAAAGTTTATTTCACTGGATTCTACTTCTTGAATAATATCGTCGAACCTCAGTCACTCCGATTACTGCTAATACTTCTACTACCTCTGATCTATGGGATTTAGAGTGTCAATTGCGTCTCTGTGCTAATGTGGTATGACGATCAGAACTGATGTACCTAAATACGAAGTTCTAAGTTGTAACTGACTGAGTGAGTAAATTGGATACTCGAACGGCAGGTTCAATTACGTTAAACACGATGCACGATTCACAAACAAAATAGAGAACCAGATTAAACAATAGACAGTATTCTATACAATTACAAGCAGTCACACAGTGGATCCGGAGTAGAAAGAAGCGACAAAAAACGCTCGATGCCCAGTCACATTCTCCTTTCGCTACTACACATCAGAAATATACTAAGAAAACTTGGTAACTAGATTAAGCACTAGAGATTAACTGCGAATGGTTCGACTTGTAGAAATCTATAATCTGCTAATGTTTCCCCAATAATTCCAGCTAATTTTCTAGAAAATTTGTGGGTTATTTAAATAAATTTGTGCTTTGGCCGTAGTTTGAAGAGGTGTGTAGTAGTGTACTTTGTTGATTGATAAAGTTATTGTTCATTGTTTAGTTCAAAAAGAACTACTCTGTCTAAACTGAAGCTACAGCTACCTAAGAGTATAATTTCTAATTCAAGGAAACTTCCAAACCGTCACTTTTTAAAGACCAAAATTCAGTTGAAAACGAACCTAATTTTACCTATGATCTAAAGCAACTATGGGTAATCCGAGACAAAACAGCAAAGCGAATTTCGAAAAGCCAAAACAGTGCAGCTATTAAAGCTTTTCGGTAAAACAAATATGTAAAAAGAAATAATCAACAAGACCACCACTGTAAAATAATCAGTCGTTTTCCCTCAACAAACATCTGGAAGTGTAAACAAACGCGTGGAAACACATTCATATTCGGCAGTTTGTATAAAACGCTAACATCAACCGTCGACTACACAGACATTGATCCACTATGACGAAATTCATTTTTTCATAAGGAGTAAACTGTAGAGTATTTTTCAGCCAAGTCTCTATCACTATATAAAATAACTTAAATGCTCTTAGCCTAAATTTAAAAATATTTTTTATACATATTCGACAATTATCAAATTCAAGGTAATACTCTAAGATGGCTCGTATGATCTTATAGTTTAAAAGTAAAAATGTGGATTGAAACCTAAAATTTTGAATTCGTTTGATTATGTAGGTAACCTTTAAGTGCACATAAAATGAGGTCGGATTTAAATGTGTTAAGATGATCTTAATTTAAAAGGGATATTAATGGTAATATGCAGTGTATGTTTGTTGTTTATTAAGTTTACTTACTCTTATTTTCCCCACTATTTTGTTAGTTTTATATGAACCTAAATAAACGAGACTCACATACTCGAAAATAATGAAGACAATAGAAATTGTTATATAGATAATATTTTAAAGTGAAGGATATATCAAGTCACATATAATTTATAGTTTTCCTCTTGACACAGTCTTATGATATCTACTGTGTACTAATAATCGGTCATAGTCATGTCTCGAACGGTAATTTTTGCATTAAGTACGAACATGATCGAAATCTACTTTTCGATTCACTTAATACGTTATTAACGTTATTAGGATATTGTAGAACATATATCTACAGTAAACAGTCTTCTAGTTTAATAGATACAGTGATCCTGTAGCATCTCACCGTTCATTCACCGTACTTTAATGATTTGTCGTTTAAATTATTCGATAATAGTATCAATCATATTTTTGTATTAGTAATAATTCGATTACAGTATTGATGTTTGTATATTTGATTGTGTGTGGATGCTTACTCGCTTATCACATGTCTATCTTATTATTGCTTGACTGTACACACTTAGTAATTCTTCAGCACACGTAAAGTTGCTTCGCTTTGCTTGTACCCTTTCCACTCGCATGTCTGTCTGAATGCATGAAATAAATTCATCTGCAACACCGTATTTGGCTTATTACTGTCGCCGTTGCAGGAACGGGGTTTGCCTAATTATAATATACGAAAATGGACAGGAAGATTTATTTCATTGCACACTCGATCATTCGTCCACACTGGAGTCCAGTCGTGAGCCGCTAAAATCTATATACATACAATATCACAAATTCAATAAAGTCGCAATGTATATATATATATATATATATATATATATATCCAAAAACTAATCCATATAAAGTTCTTAAACTAGACAATAATCTTGTTTCATTCATCTTGTTTTTGTGTACTGTTTCGGTATTTTGATTTTTTATTCACAACTTACAAGATATCTATCTATATTCAGTTCAGGCCTTTCTTATCTCTGTGACTAATTCCATGATGTTAATTTAAATGTCCATGTATACAAATAGATGTGTAAATAACTATATATATTTGGAAGATGGTTAGTAAAACTGCTTATTTTACCATATAAATGTTAGTATAAGTACTGAAAATCAAATAAATTATGTGCTGCCTGTTTTTAAAAATCCATTTTTATTTTCCGACAATTTACTTAACCTCTCCAACCTATATTATTTTTGTATCATTAAGAATTCTTTAACTCGATGTTAGGTCGTGCTATCTTTGTAAGTTAATTTTGCTGTAAGCAACAAGGATACAAATTCTTATGTTTACTATTTCTTTACCATCTTCCCCATTGTGTCTTTGATATACAGTGTATATTCGTGCATATGGTCAAATACATATCATGATCAATTAATGCCCCCAAGTGTTACAGATTCGTAAATATTTTTCTGTCTCCAGCATATCTTAGATGTTGATTATTTGTTCTTACATAGACTCTGTAAATTGACTCCGGTGTTTTTTTCACTTAGCTTTATTTCCTTGATTTTATTTTAGGCTCTTTAGTGAAACCATGTCCTAACTGTAAAACTCTCATACAAAAACTCAATGATGGAAGCTGTAATTCTATGGTCTGCTCAATTTGTAATTATGAATTTTGTTGGTTATGCTTACGGGAAACTACCGCAACACATTATTTGAAGTACGTAAGCAATGATCTGTAGTCCTTTGATAAATGTATACTTACGTGTACTTATTTATCTGTCTCAAGATTTTATATAGTCTATCTTACACTAATTCAAAATACTGAATTACCTCCGTCAAAAGTGTTATTTCTCTTGTATAAGGTAATTATAATTGTTCGGTTTGTAGATTATATATTGCCAATCCAATCCACTTTTCCATCCAACGAATTCAACAAGTTAATTGTCTGATTTCAGTAGCTGTAACAAACGTGGAGACTAGAAAACGTAAATTGCTTAAACTAGCAATTGTTTAAACCCAGTTAACTAAGAGTAATGTAGGTGCTTATCGAAGTGAGAAGCATTAAATAGTCTATTTTAGCAAGTAAAAAATATTAGAGGTTGCCTATGTTCCTGGTCAACCATACACAACGTAGGACCTGGCATATATATGCTTTTGTTAAAGTTGTTTCAAGTCTTTGAAGCATTGCCCGTATATCCTGGGAGCACCTAGTAAGCAATGCTGTTGTTAGGAAAAGGGTACTAGGCAAGGATGGCAGATCAATAGATGAATTAATGAAACCTCGGCGAGCAGTGATGCCTAGTGTGGGTTAGATTAGGAGAACGCTAGGGGCGGCCAAACCAAAACATTGCACCAGTTCATGAAGTCACTGACAACTAGATTGAGCCATTTTAGTAGGTGTAGACTACCTGGTAATAGTCAGCGAAATGATCGTGACTGTTGGTTCGCGACTTTGAATGGCATGGTTCTAAATCGTTTGCAAAGGTGCAGACGAATCCATTCTTTGCCATCTCTTAAATTCTAATCTTCTGAACTCCTCATGACAATTTTTTAGAAATTGATTCTTCTGAGATATACTTCTCGAATGATATTTTCGACCGCAAACCTTTTGATTACCGCTAATACTTCTACTATTATGGGATTTGAATAGATAATTCTACCTCTTTGTGCTAATGTAGTATGGCAACTTAAACTGATGTACGTACGCATGATGCTCTACGTTATAGCTCACTGACTTCTGAGTGATGTATAGCTATAACATCGTACGATTACTTAGTGATATGTTCATCTACTTTTGATTAATTACTTTTCATGTCATTGTATTCCACCACTTGATTTTCACTGCTTTACAATTTTCAGTTTTTCCGGTTGTACTGTATTGGGTCGCAGCCGATGGTCGAAAATTCGTCGTGTTGTTGCTGTTTCTAGTATAATGTTAGGCACACCAATCCTTCTTCCACTTACAATTGTGATAGCGCTTCCTGCCTTATCAATTGGCTTTACTGTTTCCATCACGAGACCCGTAAGTTACAAAGTTTGTCTAATTGAACTCAGCTAACCCATGTTTATTTGCGCTTTTTTGGGATCATTTAATTGATGTTAGGACTCCATTGGTTTGAAACCAAGATTTTCCATCTCCTTTTAGTAGATTACTTGTATCCACCAGCTTGATCTTAATTTGAAGTAGAATGTGTATAAAATATTGATCTGAGGTAGTCGATAGGAAACCGTGAACCTAGGTTTCGTACTATTTGGCGCTCATCAGCATGGGATATTTGTATTGTTAAAGAAACTGATGCCCCTAACCGGGTCCAACTGCGTATCACGCAGCTTCGCAGTCAGATGCTACTATTACTATTCAAAGTCAACTGTTCGCTCCTAGTTTAGTCATGCTAGTGGTAAAATGTATACATTCATTCATACTGCTATTAGTGCCCAAATATGCCTTAATTAAATATTTTTTATTATTAATTTAAAACAATATTCATGTTTGAGTGGTGAGAATCTTTGGTTGCCAGCATATTTTACTGATAATTTTTAAGAGAAAACTTATGTTGATGTTGTTTGATGATAAATTTTTCATATTTTCCTACGAAACAAAATGTCACATGTCACATCTAATCACCAGTGTTTGATTACTTCATCAGTGTCAATATTCTGTTGAAATGATTAGTTGTCGAATGTGGGTGAGTATCCAAACACTATGACTGTATATATCAGCTTGTAAACTTTGAGATGAATTCATCTAGTTCGTAGCACAATGTATTCAAGAGAAAAATCTCCATATCTCTTATGCAGATGTTTCTTTTATCATTTTCTTGGATTATGAAGAGAAAATTCAACTAGTAATTTTCATATTCATTTGATAGATTAATCGGATGCTTCTTTCGAAATCAAAACATTTGAGACGGTTTATTTTATTCTGGATTGTAATCGCTGGTCTCATTGTGTTTCCAGTATTAACCGGTTAGTGCCATACTTTTGACTTGTTTTATGCTACCTTGATCTAAATGAAATAACATTTATCCTGGTCACATCAAAACAGCAAATCAGTAGAGTACTTTTTGTGGACTATGTTTTGCGGAATAATGTCAAACCCTTTGTGTTTAGTCTTAAAATTAAGGGATTATATGATCTGCAACATTAGATCACGTGGTACAAAAAATATTATACTTCTGTAGCTATATTCACTTTTTCTATCTGTTGATCTTTTTCATCCAATTTACTTTATTTCCATTACTGAGCTTGTTTTATACACATTACCTTGTGACAGCTTAAAGTGGTGTACCGTCATAAGATGGGTCATCCGTTTTTTCAACCATTCGGTGAATTACATGGAATAACAAATAAAAGTTTAGAATATTTGTAATGGAAACTAAGAGTCCATACAGTATGAAACTCAGGAGTTATTCACAGCTTTCAGGCATTTGTTTAGTTTCACTTTCTTTCCTAATCATGTTTAGTTGTGTGAAAAAGTCGGAATTCCCGGACTAAAACAAAATGCCTGTTCATTTTCCGATGGCTTTCATTGATTCTCAAGCATACTACGGGTTGTGATGAGAATTTCTTCCGATATGTAAAAATGATGTACAATTTAAGCGATAAACCGTTATTGACACTTTCATTCTTAAAACATCATTAAACCGTGTTTCCTAAGTAGCAGGCAAAATAATTTAATGTAAATGAGAATAATGAAGGTTGTTCAACCTCTTTGTGGTACAAAAAGATGGATGTTAAACTAGCAGTTCATTATGTTATGTGGCTCAGCATTGTAACTAATGACGAAATATCTATCCCATTAATCTTCGTGCATTTACCTAGATCTTGTTAACAAGATGATTCATACGAAGGACATGTATTACGTACTTACTTACGCTGTCACCCCTAATGCAGCATAGGCCGCCGACCGTTGTTCTCCAACATACTCTGTTCTGGGCTTTCCATTCCAGTTCCGTCTAATTCTTATTCAGTCTTCTCATATCTTTCTCTATTTCTCGGCGTAATGTGTTCCTTGGCCTTCCTCTTTTCCTTTCACCTTGGAGGTTCCAAGTGAGGGCTTGTCTCGCGACGCAGTTGGGTGCTTTTCGCAGTGTGTGTCCTATCCACTTCCACAGCTTCTTCCTGATTTCCTCCTCCACAGTACGTTGTTGCTGATGGTGTCGTTAACGAATCCGAAATATTTTGCGTAGACAACTGTCAATGAATACCTTTATCTTCTGGATGATGGTTTTCGTAGTTCTCCAAGTTTCCGCTCCATACATCAGAACTCTCTTGGCATTTGTATTGAAAATTCTGATTTCGGTGTTGATTGGCTGTTTTTTTGAATACCAGATGTTGTTCCATTGTAGAAATGAGGCCCTTGTTTTGCCGACCCGCGCATCTGCATCGGATCCACCTTGCTTGTCAATAATGCTGCTCAGTTATGTAAAGGATTTAAGGTCCTCCAAGGCATCTCCATCGAGAATGATTTGGTTGGTGAATGTCGGAAAATCTTGCTTTTATCTCTGTGTACGTTGAGACCTGCTGCTACACTGGTCGTCTTCTCTTGCATTTGTTGTTGTGTGTGCGATAGAAGAGCCAGGTCATCTGCGAAGTCCAACTGCATCCTGGTTTTCCATTGGATACCGTGCTTCCCTCCAGATGTTGACGTCTTCACAATGCAGTCGATCACCTGGAGAAAGAGAAAGGGTGAGAGTAAGCAACCTTGCCTGACACCGGTCTTCACCTCGAAGGAGTCTGTTAGCTGTCTTTCGTGCACGGTTTTGCAGTTGAATCCATCATAAGAATTCTGTATGATGTTGACTATCTTGTCAGGCACTCCGTAGTGTCGAAGAAGCCTGCATAGTATTGCTAACAAATGCTTTCTCGTAGTCGATGAAGTTGATGTACAGTGATGAGTTCCATTCGATTGATTGTCCCACAGTGATGCGTGATGTTGCGATTTGGTCGGTACACGATTGATCCTTACGAAATCCAGCCTGTTGATTTCGAAGTTGGGCGTCTACAAAGTCTTTCATTCTGTTGGGAAGACTGCCTGGTATTGGAAGAAGAGTGATGCCTGTGTAGTTCTCACACTTGCTTAGTTCGCCTTTCTTTGGTATTTTGATGTGGTCTCCTTTCTAGTCTGTTGATACTTGTTCTTCATCCGAAATCTTGTTGAAGAGAATGTGAAGTATTTTTGCAGTTGCTGCCTCTTCTGCTTTCATAGCCTCAGCTGGAATGTTGTCTGGTCCCGCCGCTTTGCCGCTCTTGATTCGTCTATTGGCCACACTAATCTCTTCCATTGTTGATGCACCAACATTGATTGGGAGATCCGTGGATGCTGGTTCGATGTCGGGTGGGTTCAGTGAAGCTGGTTGATTCAAAATTCTTCTGAAAGAAGACATTCTAACTCCTAGGGCACAGGGTTTAAATGGTTTGAATTATATTTTTTCTGGTTAGCGTTTTTTAGCGAGTTAGTTTTCAGCGTAATGGGGTCGCCAACCCTTCTCCTTTATCCGGGCTTGAGATCGGCAGTAGCCCCTGTGTGGTTCCAAGACATGTATATTTCAAGGAAAATATAATCAATAACGAATAAGAGACGAGACTGTCATTCGAAAAATAATTTATTTAGGAATTTCTCAGATACAGGATTTTGACAAATGTAAGCTATACTACGTCTAAGATTATATAAGTAGTATTTGTTTTTTATTCAAAACCGTGGGTTAGTCTGATAAATATGGTAACAGCTGTTGTCGTTTCAAGGTAACATAAATGAAATGTTAGTATACTTGAGTAGTTTCCAAAGCAAACCAAAAAATCAATGTGCTGGTTGAGTCAGTGTAATTATTCGAATATCTAAACATCAAACCCCTAACTGTTTTCTCCTCATGCTCATGACAACAAGCTGGGTTGTGCTTTCATTTATGTTTGAGAGCGGATGCTAATGAGCATATACGTGTACGAAATATGTAAAGTGCGTCTATAGCGCGACTTAGTAGTCTGCCAAACCAGAAATACTTGACCGCGATATCTCATTTATTTAATGTTTTTTGTTTAGTTCTTGATAAGACATATTAATCAACATTTTTGTTGACTTTTTTTATTTTGTATACGATAAAACTATAGCTTATTTAAAATAATATGCTAACCGATTCATTTACTTTTCAGCCCTAACGTTTGGTCTTTTGATTCCCATTGTTTTGGGTTATGTGTATTTATACCTTCCAATCAGTTTGTTTCGATCCCTGATAAGAGATGAAAGTGAATTTTTTTCAAAACCGACAGAGTTAGAGAAATTACAATCACTGAGTTCTTCTTCTGAAAACGAATTTGAATCGAAGGATACGAATGTTAGACCAAACGATAGAAGTCTTAGTGAATCTAAAATTATTGTGATAAATGAGACAGCATCGACGGATTTTGATCAAACATCATGAACGTTTGAAAGAACAGCTTATCTATTTTAAAGTCTTTCATTTCTTATTTTTATCCAAACGAAATGAATGTTTGGTGTTTGTGTTAATAAATGGAAATACAAATTGACTCATATTACTTTTTATAATTCAAAATCAAGGCTGTGATTTGTCAAGTCCAAATGAATTCTTTCTTATTTTATCTAATTCTTATATTCAAGCCTGCTGTTTGTATGCTCTCATTACTTATTTTTTGGTAAGAAGAACGTACACTAGTCTTAGTTGTATTTGCTTAAATTCAGCTTATTAAAGTCTTGTAATACATATTGTCTGAACGTATTAACCTAATTAAGTAATTGCTAGACACATTTGTTAATTGGTTATTAATAAACTTTATATAATTTTAGAGAGGTGATACAGTTTAATAACGGTCTGATCATCAGACAATCTTGGTAACAGCACATTTTATAGTTCATCTGTTGCTGATCAATAAAAAATATCGTCGAGTTGCTTAGTTCCTCCTAAAAATTACCGGCTGCAAATAACGGTTATCTTGAGAACCCAATCCTGGATATTTCCAAAATTAATCACTTAATAGATCGACCCTAATTCGGTCATCACATTTTTTACAACATATATTTCCGCTTGTCAACATAGCGCACTGAAGCAGATAGACGTGGCAGATAAGTGAATTACATTCGAATCACTCCATTACTTGATAAAGCATCAGAATTTAATCAGCCTCATTCATTTTGAATCAGCTACGCTATACTTTCAATAATAACTGTGATTATATGCTTTCGCTCTATACTTGCGTGCCCGCGTCTGTTTGACTTCGTTATAAAATCAGCCATAAGCAACTTAGAACTTGACACCGGAATATGAGTCTCAATCACCATACCACATCAGCATAGCGACATCAAGACAAATCTCGTAGTAGTAATGGCGTCAGTTTGACAGTTGCAACGTAGAACTTGACACGAACGCGCATCAGTTCAGGCTCCCATGCCACAGTGTGGGAACCCAACCAGATAGCCTACATTTAACAACATCACTTACTTCAGAAGTCGCGAGGCCGATGACCCTTCTGACAAACAGAAGCCTTCCACGGTGTAGGCAGCCGGGAAGTAACATCCACCATCATATTCTTATAATCACACGAGAACAACAAAACTCTTTCGATCGTTTGTCACCTCGCGCCGCTAAAAGCAAACCGTTTGAGCTGACGAAACGTAATTACTGGTCTGCTGAAACCCATGCTTTTATTGTTCGGACCTTGTGCCAAATAGGGCAACAGGTTTCATTAGCTAGAAATCTGGGATCTCGGGCGATCGATGCCTGATGCATTTCTGAAACGGGCATACAAGATCCGAATAAAATCATCAATTTGATTTCACCCAGTGCAGATAAAGACAACACGGTTTACACTTCGTGTTTCAGGTAGCCCTGGTGCTGCTTGCAGTGACCAGCATCACTGCAGATGCTGGTTGTCCGAGGTAAACACCTTACTGCTCTCACATCCTTCTGAAGTCAGCAGTACGACTTCGCCCTCATACAGTGAGTAGCTGCTTTTAGTATCATCGTTCTCCAGTCGACCTAACTGGCATGGCAGAACCTTCAGGAACGTATGTTCCAGCTAATATAGCTCGTTTGAGTCATCACGATAGGGAGGCCCGACCACCATGTCAAGGTGGCAGCTACGGTCGGGATCTTCGTCTAAATTTTCAGGAGTAAACGTTCTACCAGGAGACTCGCTTATTGACTTAGAATAGGCCGATGTTATAGTTGACAAAATTCACTCTTCTGACTACCCTAATCATCAATGCAAGCATGTTCGGAATGCGGTTTTTCCTCTCGAAATGCAAAATGTTGCTTCAAGACTGGTTTGCATCGGCACCTGAACTAGTGATACGGAGTGAAGTAGTCAAGTGCGTTGACCGCTTCACTTATCTTGGGAGTCTCATCAGTGCCGATGGCCTGGTGACTGACGAAATCTCAGCACGGATACAGAAGGCTCGATTGGCTTTTGCCAACCTGCATCACTTATAGCGTCGGCGAGATATCCGTTTGCTGACTAAAGGACGAGTGTACTGCGCAGTAGTTCGCTCCGTCCTACTTTATAGTTTTGAAATATGACCAGTCAGAGTAGAAGATATTCGTAGTTTGCTGGTATTCAATCATGTCTTCGAAGCATCGCTCGTATATCGTGCGACTGTCGAGTGAGCAACGCTGTTATTAGGAAACGGGTCAGTCAGATGCAACGTAGAACTTGGTACGTAAGTACATCAGTTCATGTTGCCATACCACATCAGCACAGAGATATAATTGTCAATTCAAACCCAATAGTAGTAGAGGTAGTAAAGGTATTAGAAGTAGTCAGAGAGGTTAGGATTAGAAGATACTATTCAAGAAGTATGATTCAGTGAGAAAAGTTTAGAGAGTCGGAACTAGAGGTGTTGAAGAATCCAGAAGATTAGGGGTTGAGAGAACACAAAGAATAAATGCACTGGCGCCATTGCGAACGATTATGAGCCATGTCATTCAAGGTCTCTAGCCATCGATTATTATCATCTCGTGGACCCCAACCAGGTAGTCGACAATTACCGACATGGCTCAGTCCATTAGTCAATGACTTCATGGATTTATGCCATGTTTTGGTCTGGCCGCCCCTAGCTTTCTTCCAACCTACTCCTACACTACAAAACAAAGTTCGTCGAGGCAGTCGGTGGTTCGGCATACGTAACACATGTCCCAACCACCTCAACTGATGAAGTTTCACCACTTCATCGATTGATCTGCCATCCTTAACTAGGACCCGTTTCCTGACAATAGCGTTGCTCACTCGGTTATCCCAGGATTTACGATCAATGCTTCGAAGACACCTATGATCGAAAACCAGTAACCTACGAACATCTACTCTTAACGGCCATGTTTCGCATCCATATAGGAGAACGGAGCGAACTGCTGCACAGTACACTCGTCCTTTGATTAGAGAACGGATATCACGCCTACTCCATAAGTGACGCAGGTTGGCAAAAGCCAATCGAGGTACTAGGTAAGGGTAGTGGATCGATAGATGAAGTGCTGAGACTTCATCAGTTGAGGTGGTTGGGACATGTGTTACGTATGCCTAACCACCGACTGCCTCGTCGAGCTATATTTTGCAGTGTAGGAATAGGTTGGACGAAAGCTAGTGGCGGCCACACCAAAACATGGCACAAATCCATGAAGTCATTGACAAGTGGACTGAGTCATGTTGGTAGGTGTCGACTACCTGGCTGCGGTCCGTGAGATGATAATAATCGATGGTTAGAGACCCTGAGTGACATGGTTCAAAACTGTTTGCAATGGCGCAGGTGCATTTACTCTTTTCGTTCTATGAAATTCTAAATTCCTAATCACCTCTATCTTTCTCTTTCTAAATTTACCTCACTGAACTATACTTCTTGAATAACATCTTCGAACCCTAATCTCTCAGATTACTGCTAATACTTTTACTACCTCTACTACTATTGGGATTTGAATTGACGATTACATTTCTGTGCTAATGCAGTATAGCAACTTGAACTTCTGTACTTACGTGCACAGTTCTACATTGCTGTTGATGATGATCACCCACAGAAGTTAATTATTTAAGTCGTGTCTCTTATTTGCTCCAGGCTATCCATATTCTTTAAGTTCCTCAAGAGTAGAGACTTAATTTGATATAGCAGTCAGACTGCAAGGAAGTAGGTGGTAATCAGAGAGTAGTCAAATACCATTGTTTCAATCGTCTGGACTGAGACGGGATCATGATCACACCGTTTTAGAGAGTTGTAGTAAAAGCCGACTTTTTGATCATTGACTCTGATATGTTGGGACAGTTGTCTGCTTTTACCAAACGCCGCCGCCTTTATCTTTCATTTGATAGATCACTATTAAACACAATCACTGGACAAACTCCTTGTCAGTTTAAGCCAAGTTGTTTTTGCTACATATCCTGTCCGCAGCCTGATCTCATGATTTTTTTGATGCAGCAATTTCGGTAGACAACACTTCCCTTCTTTCTAACTTTTTGGTTCAGATATCGCCTCTGTTTTCACCGTAAGTGGCTGTAAGAGTCCATCTAAACAAATAAACAGATTCGGAATACTTGGTGTTGGCCTCGTAAGTTTTAATGAGTTGCACATGCATTTAGCCACTTAGTCGTTCAATATCTCGCAAAGGACTAAAAGAGAACATGGACTTGAACCGGATAGGTGGGTACAGAGGATATAATTAGGGGTGTTGGAAAACCTTGATCCCAAACCGACGGTGTATATGGGCCTTAGTATCCAGAAGAACCAAATGGCTTATGGACATATTCTTGCCTACCTGTTACCATGGACCTCATCTCCTAAAGTTGCTCTGTTGTCTTGTGCATTAGATCTCTAAGTCAAAGGTTTAGGGAGTGGTCCTGTAGTGGTTATTTCCACCGTATGTTTTCGACTCCAATATTTCGTCCCGTTAACGGTGTTCTATGAATCTACCCGGGGAATAATTAGAAACCAGAACATCAGTTAATGGGGTTAGTGAGTATTAATAACAATTAATGGGATCCACAAGATACACACTGGTCAAACACACCAGAGGAGTAAGATGATGAATAATAAATGAGGAGCATGTTTATGTACTTTATGAGTATTAGATCACATCGCCATCAGCCACCGATGGAGAGGTTCGATAGAGGACTGTCGCTCGTTCTGGGGCACATGTTTAGATTTAGATCATGCCCTAGTGCGAGCTCGTATTTGTTTGAGGCTTACTGGACGTAGGAAAGACGCAGCGAGGAAGCCTCTTCCGGTTTTCCTTAATGATATGAATATATGTCAGGAACAACGAGAAAGAGAGTTAGGCGACCATGTAAGCTTTTATTTGTAACCATGAATCGATAAATGTTAGACCAACATTAGAAACCTGGAAGCACTGATGCATGGTTACAAATAAAACTTATTAATCTTCACAACAACCCCGCAAGACCATGTAAGCGATTGCCATCCGGAAGC